CCGCGGCTGAGGCCGCCCCGCCAGACGGTGCGCCTGGAGCTGGTGCTCAAGGACCCCACGGACGAAAGCTGCGTGGAGTTCAGCTACCCCGAGCTGCTGCTGTGCGGAGAACAACGGGTACAGAGCACCCCGAGCCCCGGCCCGGCCGGCGTGCACTTCGGACGCCCCGAAGCGGGTGGGGGGCCAGGGCTGCCACCCCCTCCGCTGGGTGCCGGCGTCTCCCCCGGCCACCCGACCCCCATGCCTGCCCTCGGCCCTCACACTGCTCCCAGCCCGTCCTGTGCTCCCTGCGAAACCTCACATCCTCCCCCCTTGCCTTTCTGCTGCCCACACAATCTTGGGGCCCTGCAAGTGCGTTGTCGGGTTTTCCTTGTGGCGCTCCTGCCGTCGTTCCCGTGGAAGGAAGAAAATACCTTGGGGGACACGCCCCCCAACGTGAAGCCGAGAGATTGTCACCCCTTTCTAGCATCCTCATCTTCATTGGTATTTGTGATGCATGGCGCTGTGGCTGTGGAGATGTGTGTGTGCTGTTTGTCTCCACTGAAGGGGATTTAAAAGTCACCTAAAGATTCTTAGACATCAGAAATTGCACTTCGGGAATGAAGGAGAAGTGGGTTCCCTGGCTACTTGTTTTTCTCTCTCGGGTTACTATTGGTAAGCCTTTTTAGCTTTGTTTTCCTTGGAGTTGGTTCACATTGTTCTTGAGTGGGAAGGTGTCTCTCCCGTCTGTTTGGTATGGCGCCTCCCAGCATACTCTTTATGTGATTGTCAGTAATTGGTTTATAGGTTCAGGTTGGAGCCTTTACAGCTTGTATTGTAATTTTTGGAGAGCGAGGAAAAAAATCTTAGTTTTGACTATTTAAAAAACTTTATTGAAAATCGGTAGGTATGCCTTTGCTGGAACTCGGCAATGGGGTTTGTTGCTAATTGTGCTTTTTATTGTTGTGGGTTGGTAATCTTTAGAAGTTAGAAAGGGAAATGATACAGTAACTGTAAAAAGAGAACAGTTTACTGTGTTGGTTGGAGATTCCACCCTTTATTAGGTTTTGCTGAGCACAGGTCTAATGGACTCCAGAAGTGATTTGTTTTGCTATCATCCTCAACTATCTTTATAGTTGAAATGAGTGACCCCTTAGTCAGAAAGTTTCATATTAAACAGTGTCACTGGGTTCTGTTTATTTTATGACCAGCTGATCTCTTGGTCACTGTTTACTAATATTGTATGGTGATCATTGCTAAATGTTTTCTGCCGAAATGAATTAAGGGTAAGGATCATTTTGGTCATTTATTTCCACATGTGCCCTTTAGACTCACTTCAGTGAAAGTGGCCCTGTTATGTAGGAAATGTGATGATCATTTTTTTCATAATGTCATGATTTTGAAAAGTATTGGATTGGAGAATTTTTCAAATAAATTGTATTTGAACTCCTAGCATAAGTAAATTTGCAGTTTTACTCCCTAATCTACTCATAAATTACAGGTGAAAAACATCATATTTGGGCAAAAATACATAATAATATCATTTACTGAGCGCTTGCTATGTGCTAGGCACAGTTCTAAGCACTGTTCATGGCTTATCTAGTTAAACCAGCAGAACTCCGTGAGTAGAACTATCATCCCATTTTACAGATGAGACTACTGCACAGAGTGAGGATACGTAATTTTATGAATACTGCTTTCTGTGGTAGAACCAATTCTTAGTAAAGCAAAAGATCTCATAATTTAAATTTAGAGGCTCCTGCTGAAATGAAGTAATACTAAAGCTGTGGTAGAAATAGAAAGACCTCTGTGGTGACCCTCTTTTTGTTACAATATTCACGTCATGATAAATTAATAATAGGTGTGTATCTTATAATTACAAAAAAGGAGAAAAGTTCAGAAAAAAAGTTCATTTTGATCCCTAGCTTTATGAACTTGATAATGCCAGAATTACTACTCTCCCGTAGTAGGGAAAAGATGAATTAATTCCGTTTAATTTTTATGTTTACTCTATATTTTCAACTTAGGTGTTTAATTAGGCCAATTTTCTCATTGCATAGTCGACCATAACTGATGATTTTGGTGAAATTCCAGATATCATGTGGCATATTCTACTTAAGAAAATCCATTGTTTGTACAATGCACTGTTGGAACAAAGATTTGCCAGATTTTCCTATGATTACTCTCTGTGAATGTATTTCTTATGTAAGAAAGCACTGAACACACCTTTCTAAAAAAATTAAAGTTGTTATAGTTCCATGAAAGGAAATCGTAGGAGGAGAGGCCATCGTAAACAAAGTGGGGCTGTTACAGTTGGTCTGGAAGGTGGCCATTCCCAAATTTGGTTTTCCTTGCCTTCAAGGGAAGTCCAATTATTTTTAGGGATGGTGTAATATTTCCAAAATAGATTTGATTTTGAGTTATCGTAATTGAACAGTGTACCATGTAGCAGGCTGAGAGTAGCAGCAGAAGAGATTTTATAGAATAAAAGGAAAAAAGGCTATAAAATTTTGAAATTGCTGTTTAGCAATGAATAGGATTTTTTAGCTCTACATCCTCAAGTTGTTAGGTGTGGGGCTATTAAAATGTATGTTACAGAACAATGAAACCGTGATTAACAGGAACACAATCAGAATTTTTCTGTACTTAATCAATGAGGAAAGACACCACTAATAAGCATATACTGGCAAAATATGACAAACAAAACCACCTTCCTGGTTGTCAGGAAACAAGTTTGCTAATCTTTAACCTTATCATCTCTGTACAGTGCTGGGCGGGGATTGAGGGGGCCCAGGATGGTGGTGGGGGCAAGGCAGTCCTCTCTATCCTGAAAGGTGAAGTTGTTCACCGTTTCTGGCTAAACTGTACTAGTGCGTTTTAGAAACAAGTTTTGATTATGATTGATACACGAGAAATTCTTCTTTAACTTAGTAAACCAGAAAAGCAGTTAACCAGGACTTAATTGAGCATTTATGGTAAAAAGAAAAATACATGATTAGAGTGTTACAGTAACTATACTGTTTGAGAATTCTGAGGTAGTCCATTACTTGTCCTGTTGCACATTTTGGATAAGAGATATGAAATATTTATTGAAAATAGTGTTAATGAGTTAAGATCAAAGGACATAATTATTGCATTAATTTTGCAGCTGGGTGGTTGGTAATTTTAATATTTTCAGATCTTTTTCTTTACCAGAAAAAAACATAAAGAAGCTTACTTAGAGCCCTGATTTTAGGGAGGGAGGATAATTCTTTCTTAACTGAGAGAAAAGTGAGTCAGTTTTCCTAAATTTATTTTCACAGACTTTCAGGAGTAAATAAGAGACTTTCTGATGCCTAGATAAAGTCTACGTGAAATATCTTAAATTGGCATGTAAAGTGATTCTTACTAAAAATACATATCCATGTGTTTATATTTATACGTACAGAACGGGCCAGACTGGTAGTAAGACCTAGTGTTTGAACTTCACAGTGACATGCAGGCAGTTTAAAGGCTTAACCTTAACCTTAAGTTAGCCTATATCCTGAACATGCCTAGTATTCCTTTTTTCATTATCAACCTTTCCCTCTACTTCATTGCCTTTTAGATCATGTTTATAATTTCCATTGGTGACACTTATTGGGATAAAGGAGTCTGTATATTTATTACTTATTACAATAGGTGATTTTAAGATTGGTTCTAAAGTTAACTCCTTCAAGCTTTAAGGAGTGTCTCTTGTTTGCTCATGCCCCAGTTTGTACTCCCTCTGTCTGTGTTTTTCTGTCATGTTTTTTACGCTGATGATATCTCAGCCTTGGTATCCAGAATGAAGTGTCCAAATTCCAAACGGCAAATCTTCATCTCTTCTGCATTTTTCCCTTATTCTTTAGGATCAGCCAAATCTGTATCCAGTATTTCAGCTGTAATATACTTTCATTTTAAAATATTTTGAAGGTGCTACTTCAGTGGAAACGTTTAGCCTTCCTTTTATCGTTGTTATAAATTTCTAGCCAATTGTCCATAATTGGATAAAAATAGCATTTTTATCCATAAGTAGCTTTTTGTTTTGCCTTTTTTTGTGTATTGGAAAACCATGTCTATAAAACACGTCTGCTAAATAGTAACCTTGAGTAAAGGATGTGATTGATCTTTGTTTTGGTAACTAGATGGTGAACGTGAGCTTCTAGTGCTGTGTGTGGTATGTAAGTCATGTGTTGTAGTATACTCTCCTCTGCTAGAAGGAAGCCGTGCTAATGTGATTTTTTTGCAGCCATTTCACTCTCTAGATTTGTTTAAAAGTAGTTCTTGTATTCCCCGAATGGATATCCATTGACAGAAGGTAGAGGTTGCTGATACTGGGTCTCAGCAGAAAGCCTAAAGCTCCCTCAGCTGCAGATAATCTAGTGACAGCTCACGGGCAAGTGGTGGGAAGTTGACTCTAATTCATGAGCTAGAGATGCTTTTAGAAGCATTTCCTGACCAAAGCAGTTGACCTTGTTAGGGAAGGTGCAAGCTGGAATTATAGTGGGACTTTCATTTTTATCTCATGTTCTTGGTTTTCTAGCCTTGTTATTTGGGATGGGATGACCATAGGATCATTGTGCAGGTGGAGATAATTTGGATTATTGAGTTCTTGGCTACCAAAAAAAAAAAAAAATGCCTGTAGAGTGTGTAAGAATCCATTAAAACCATGAACACTTTTTGAACCAACGTTTCTTTCTAGTTACTTGTAATACTTCTGACTATATGTGTTAGTATTTGAAAAACTTGACTCTTGTTATTGCTTAAATTTAAGGATATATTTAACTTTGGTTGAAGTATTACTAATACTTTTATTTCTTTTCCCATTCACTTTGAATCAGAAGAAGCCCATTCATACAGAAGACCCATTTAACAATGAGCATCAGGAGAGGCAAGAAGTTGAAATGTTGGCTAAGAAGTTTGAAATGAAATATGTGAGTATAATAATCAGAGTTCACTTAGGGTTTTTATCCCATCAGCTTATTTTATTTCTGTGGCTGGTTGGGAGGGCTCGTAAGTATCCATTTCCCAGCTTACCTTGTTCTTACAAATTGAATCCAAGTGAATGGTTGGACACCCTGCTACTACCCGTTGCCATCGAGTCGATTCCAACTCACAGCGACCCTGTAGGACAGAATAGAACTGCCCCATAGGGTTTCCAAGGTTGTAGTCTTTACGGTAGCAGATTGCTACATCTTTCTTCAGCAAAGTGCCTGGTGGATTCGAACTGCCAACCTTTTGGTTAGCAGCCAAGCTCTTTAACCACTATGTTACTGGCCACATTTTACAGACGAAGAAACTTAGATTCTGAGCTCAGTGTAATGTTAAGTAGCTGATTTGAGATCACAGAGTGGCAAGAACTAGGCTGCATATCCAGGCCTGTCTAGCTCTCACCCTATGCCTTTTCTCCCGGCCCTATGGAGAACAGTGTTTAATTCCCCAGGTGTAGTGGTCCTCAAACCTTCCTGCCTCTTGAGCATTTAAGAGCATGAATGTGTGTGTCTAGGGCAGAATCAGAATCAGTCAGAAACAGCATGAAATGTCTTTGAAGGTGTCCTGTTTACCTTAAATTCATGTACGTTTTATATTCTGTGCCCTAATATTTTAGCATTTGTTTTACTATAAAATTTTTAATTACTTGACTGTTAAGTTGCTTAATGTCTTTCCTCAAATTTCCTAGTATAATTGACTTGACAGACTCACTCCCCACCCCAAGTTTGTCCTGTGGCTTTAACTGCTCTGTGATGCTTGGCCGAAACATAACCCAGTTGAGAAGCAGACCCTATTATATCAAGTCCTTCTGCTTCCTCTGTGAAAAGTATCTCAGAGAGATAGGTTATCCGCACACGCTAGCCCTGTTGTTCCTCTTATCCTCAGAAGGCAGCGAGGATCCTGGTGGAAAAATGCTGACTTCTTGTGGTGAGGAAGAAACTGTTTGGGGCTTGGGGAGACATCTGAGAATAGACTGGAGTGCAAGTCAGGTTCTGGGCCATACTTGCCACTCACTACTTGGGTCCTTTTGTGAGGTGATTTAACTTCTTTGGCCACAGTTTTCTTATTGGTAAATTGAGAGATTCAGGTTTGTTGAAGACCCTTCTGGGTCTGTATTCTGTGACTATATGATAATAAATTTAAGGATAGACTGGTGGGTGTTTTGATGGAAGGAATAGCCAAAGCTATTACTTACAGTAATTTGTAATATTTAATTACAATACAGTGTTCTCAGATAGTACTGTATCCAAACCAAACCATTGCTGTCCAGTTGATTCCGACTTACAGTGACCCTATAGGCCAGAGTAGAACCGCCCCATAGGATTTCCAAGGCTGTAAATCTTTACGGAAGCAGGCTGCCACATCTTTCTCACACAGAGAGGCTGGTGTGTTCGAACCATGAACCTTTTGGGTCACATCTGAGCATTTTAACCACTGTGCCACCATGGCTCCCTTAGTACTATATAATAATGTATAAATCCTGAAATATTGTTTATATTTTTGATACAAGTTAATACATTGGTTAAATTTAGTGTTTTAACCAAGCAATACATTTATGTGGTTCAGAATTAAAAATGATAAAAAAGGTGTGGCATGAAAAGTCTTCCTTTCATTCTGGTGCCCACCTGCCTAATCCTCCTCCCTTGAGACAAGCAGCACTCTTGGGGATCCTTCTAGAGATATTTTCTGTATATCTCTGTATGTACATGTATCCCACTCCCCCACTTTGTACACGTGACAAAATACTATACAAACTCTGCTCTTGGTTTTTCTGTTTACTATATCTTGGAGATTTTTTCATATCAGGACATAGAAAGCTTTGTAATTTTTTTTTTTTCCTGAGGCTGCACAGTATTCCATGTATGGAAATGTCACAATTTATTTAACCAGTCCCCAAATGATTTAGATTGTTTCCAAAAATTTGCGCTTATAAATAGTGCTGCAGTAAATTACTTTGTAGCGTGGTTTGTCTCAACGTTTTTGGTAGGACAGATTCCTAGAAGTGGGGTTTTTAGGTCGAAGGATGTATACCTTATTTAAAATTCTAGTATGTATGCTAAGTTACCAGTTTCTACCTCTAGCCCTTTTTTCTTGGAAAGAGAGGTTCAGCTGTTTGTTAAACTTTGTGTGAAAATAATAAAGTATCTGAGTACTTACACTGACGTATGTATGGATTACACTTCAACATAAAGAACACAAAAATCCTCACAACTGGACCGGTAAGCAACATCATGATAAATGGAGAAAAGATTGAAGTTGTCAAGGATTTCATTTTACTTGGATCCACAATAAACACCCATGGAAGCAGCAGTCAAGAAATCAAGAGACGCATTGCATTGGGCAAATCTGCTGCAAAAGAGCTTTTTAAAGTATTGAAAAGCAAGGATGTCACCTTGAAGACTCAGGTGCACCTGACCCAAGCCATGGTGTTTTCAGTTGCCTCATATGCATGTGAAAGCTGGACGATGATTAAGGAAGACTGAAGAAGAATTGATGCCTTTGAATTGTGGTGTTGGCGAAGAATATTGAATATATCATGGACTGCCAAAAGAATGAACAAAACTGTCTTGGAAGAAGTACAGCCAGAATGCTCCTTAGAAGCAAGGATGGCAAGATTATGTCTCACATACTTTGGACATGTTACCAGGAGGGATCAGTCCCTGGAGAAGGACATCACACTTGGTAAAGTAGAGGGTCAGTGAAAAAGAGGAAGACCCTCAATGAGATGGATTGATGCAGTGCCTGCAACAGTGGGCTCAAGGATGGGAAGGATTGTGAGGATGGCGCAGGACCAGGCAGTGTTTCATTCTGTTGTACGCGGGGTTGCAGTGAGTTGGAATCTACTCGACCGCACCTGACAACGACAGCATCCTGAAGGGGTGCGGCAGTTGTGATGGGGAGGCACAACGGTGACACGGAAGCACAGAGCCAGCAGTGCCCACAGAAGCATGATTCTCCTTTGGGGCTCCGGCAGGGAGCAGAGGGGTTTGTCTGTTCTTGAAACTGGAAGGAATTTTGGAGACTGGTGCAGTACCATGGGGTGGCTACCTCCAGTTCCCTGTGGAACCACGTTTCTCAGTAATCCCTGAAATTGTTTTCTCCCTTTGTGGGAGAGTGGTGGGTGAGAGGCAGGAGAGGCAATGTGTTGTAGTGGAAGGGGCACAGGGTTGGGAGTTAGGATAGCTGGGTTCTAATCTGATCTTTCCTGTATTTAACTAGCTGCGTGACCTTAGCTAAGGCTCTTGGCTGTTTTATGCTTTGGTGTCTGTTAGAGGAAAATCATATCTGCCAGCCAGCTCATAGCACGAGGTTTTTGTCAACATCAGATGAGAAAGTAAGATTGTTAGTGGTTGAAATATTTACAGTGCTGAATTAAGTGTGAGGTACTGTGTAGTTCCATAGACGTATCACCCGTGTGGATATGACAGAACCACTCTTATCTTTTCTTATTCTGTACCCACCAGGAATACTTTTTATCATGATCATCTGTGGGGTTTTAACTTCTGTTAATTGACTCTACCCCCACTGATTTTGACCTTTTAGTTCAGGTATTTTATTCCCCATGGCCTTTATCTTTGGTCCTTCAATCACTGTTGACAGATTCTTCTTAACTATTGTGGCCTTAAAGTCCACAACAAATTATTTGGGATCTTTTAAGAAAATGATCGGGCCACAAGTGACCCGGGAGAAGATATCCCATCCAGCTCTCGGCTCTCACAAAAGATCACGCTTCAACAGCAAGCAAAGGTCCTTCAGGGGTGCCGATTCAGGTGCCCACAAGGCCCTCACCAATCAGACCAGGTAGAGGAGAAGCGTGGGGATTGTCTCACACAGAGGACCGCGCGTGTCCTATCTGGAGGGGGCACTGCTGCTCAGCTCCCGCCTCCTGTTACTTTGCAGGAACTTGGCTTAGAGTTCCAGTTTGTTCCATTTCTCAAAAGAAGGCAGAAATCTGGATGTTCCTTTGACACTTTTAAATGTTCACTTCTAATTAAAACAACACCTAGTGGGCCAAACAATACACCCGTGGGCCACATTCAGCTCATGAGCCCTGGTTTGAGACCTTGGTGTACTTGCCTCACTGTTTTTTTTCTTGTACAATTCACTCATCGCTCCATCTGCTTTTACATTCTGCCCTTTCTCTTCTGCCAGCAGAGTGGTGTGTGGCATGTGGGAGGGCGTGCCATTTCCATTGTCAAGGGGAATGCGTGTGTAGGAAGTTCCAGAGAACTGAGGGAGTTAAATTCATTTGGGGTTTCCAGGTAGAGGGAGAAATACGATGCTTTGGGATGTGGCTGGGTGTGAGGGTGATGTTCATGGTGAGTCTGTGGTTTGTTGGAAGGCCTGAGAGGCAAGCCTGGGGTTTGGAGTCCTGTAGTGCGTGTAGCTGTGCTTGTGTGGGAGAGGAGCTGTGGGAGGTGGAGCCCGCTGGCCACTTGAGGGAGTTGGGAAGGAAGACCATGGAACACAGGATGTGGCCTTTCTCTTGTTGCTGTTGCTCTGGGAAGAAGGAGCAAGACAGTTCTGGTAGTTGAAAAGCAGTGATACGAGAAATTACCAGTTGCTGTCTAGTCGTTTCCAGCTCACGGGGACCCGTGTGTGTCGGAGCAGGACTGTGCTCCATAAGGTTCTCAACGACTGTGAGCTTTTGGAAGTAGATCAACCAGGCCTTTCTTCTGAGGTGCCTCTGGATGGACTCGAACCTCCAACCTTTTAGGTAGCAGCTGAGTGTGTTAACCATTTGCACCACCCAGGAAAATTATAGGGAGCACAGAATAAATAGTAAAAGGAGCTCCTGGCTTCCTCCCCATCCTGTCCTATTTTTATTGCCTGTGACCTCTTTCCTGTTACATTGCTCTTCTGCTCAGGTAACGTGACAGTCCGTGTTCAGCACCAATTGCTAAATGGTTTTTTGGGAAAAGGGCAGTATGGCTATGAAGTA